TGTTATGAAAAGGAGTAAATAACACTTCCTTATTTTCTTTCTCCACACCAGTCACGATTTTAAACCTCAACCATATCCCCCCTTAGTCGTCTCTTCTCCATGCTGAAAAGTCCCAGTTTTATTAATCTCTCCTCATACGGAAAAGTCTTATTAATCTCTCCTTCTATACCCTAATCATTTTTGTTGCCCTTTTCTGAAGCTTTTCCAATTCCAATACATCTTTTTTGAGATGGGATGACCACATCTGCACACAGTATTCAAGGTGTGGGCATACCATGGATTTATATTGAGGCAATAAGATATTTTCTGTCTTATTATCTATCCATTTTTGAATGATTCCCAACATTCTGTTAGCTTTTTCGACAGCCGCTGCACAAGAAGTGGATGTTTTCAGAGAACTATCCACAATGACTCCCAAGATCTTTCTTGAGTGGTGGTAACTAATTTAGACTCCATCATTTTATATGTGTAGTTGGGATTATGTTTTGCAATATGTATTATTTTGCATTTATCAACAATGAATTTCATCTGCCATTTTGTTGCCTAGTCACCCAGTTTTGAGCGATCCTTTTGTAGCTCTTCACAGTCTGCCTGGGACTTAACTATCTTGAGTAGTTTTGTATCATCTGCAAATTTTGCCACCTCACTGTTTACCTCTTTTTCCAGATCGTTTATGAATATGTTGAATAGGACCCCGGGAGGGACACCACTATTTACCTCTCTCCATTGTGAAAACTGATGATTTATTCCAACCCTTTGTTTCCTATCTTTTAACCAGTTACCAATCCATGAGACCACCTTCCCTCTTATATCATGACTTACTTTGCTTAAGAACCTTTGGTGATGGACCTTGTCAAAGGCTTTCTGAAAATCTATATCCACTGGATCCCCCTTTCCACATGCTTGTTGACCCCCTTCAAAGAATTCTAGTATCATAGAATCATAGAATATTAGGGTTGGAAGGGACCTCAGGAGGTCATCTAGTCCAACCCCCTGCTCAAAAGCAGGACGAATCCCCAATTAAATCATCCCAGCCAGGGCTTTGTCAAGCCTGACCTTAAAAACTTCTAAGGAAGGAGATTCCACCACCTCCCTAGGCAACGCATTCCAGTGTTTCACCACCCTCCTAGTGAAAAAGTTTTTCCTAATATCCAACCTAAACCTCCCCCACTGCAACTTGAGACCATTACTCCTTGTCCTGTCCTCTTCTACCACTGAGAATAGTCTAGAACCATCCTCTTTGGAACCACCTCTCAGGTAGTTGAAAGCAGCTATCAAATCCCCCTTCATTCTTCTCTTCTGCAGACTAAACAATCCCAGTTCCCTCAGCCTCTCCTCATAAGTCATGTGTTCCAATCCCCTAATCATTTTTGTTGCCCTTCGCTGGACTCTTTCCAATTTATCCACATCCTTCTTGTAGTGTGGGGCCCAAAACTGGACACAGTACTCCAGATGAGGCCTCACCAATGTCGAATAGAGGGGGACGATCACGTCCCTCGATCTGCTCGCTATGCCCCTACTTATACATCCCAAAATGCCATTGGCCTTCTTGGCAACAAGGGCACACTGCTGACTCAGTAGATTGGTAAGGCATGATTTCCCTTTACGAAAACCATGTTGACTCTTCCCCAACACATTATGTTCAACTATATGTTGACAATTTTGTTCTTTACTGTAGTTTCAATCAGTTTGTCTGGTACTGAAGTCAGGCTTGCCAGGATCACCTCTGGAGCCCTTTTTAAAAATTGGTGTCACATTAGCTATCCTCCAGTCATTTGGTACAGAAGCTGATTTAAATGGTAGATTACAGACTACAGTTAGTAGTTCTGCAATTTCACACTTTTGTTCCTTCAGAACTCTTGGGTGAATACCATCTGGTCCTAGTGACTTTTTACTCTTTAGTTCATCAATTTGTTCCAAAACTTTCTCTAATAAAGCCATCTGTTTAATTCAGTACTTTTTGCAATACTGACCCCTTTTCCTGAGGGTTACCCCTAGATAAAATTTATTCCTGCTGTGAGGACAGAGACAAAGAGCATGGTGATTAAAGAGGTTCCAGGTTGTTGTTTGCTGAGATGCAAATCTGTTTGTTCCTGCCCCCCTTCCTTGCCAGAGAATGGCCACATGATAGGCGATTGTTCATCAACTTTGACACCTGGCTAGAGGTGTCAGCTTGTCCTTTGTCTTCGAGAAACTGGTTTACTGATCTGGTAAACGCATTTCAGACTTAATTTCAGCTGATGTTCATAACTTTACATAGTTGCTACATATGTTTCACCATGATATTCTTGATCAGCAAGTTATTTGTTTTCAAATGATACCTTACAAGGTATATTTTGTGCAAAGATTATTACAGTGGTGTGTAGGGTATGAATATAGGGTCATGGTGACATCCACTGTATTCAGCTTTGATTGAATATAGGTAGTTAATGCTGTATCTATATATCTATATATAAACTCAATATAGTGCATTTAACTAGCATTCTACTATGTATGAAGCAGAAAGCAAATGTCTTTGCCTTTCACTGTGTCAAGGTCTGGGAGACAATATAAAGTTATAGATCTAGAATGTGCCACAGCATACTGTAAACACTGTTAGAATATTCAGTTAGAAGATGAATGAAATAATAAGTATATTAATGAAATATATATATAGAGAGAGAGAGCGCACTATAATTTCTGGGGACTGATAAATGGCTTTATTTCATTCATCTTCTAACTGAATATTCTAACAGTGTTTACAGTATGGCGTGGCACATTCTGTAAATTTATATTGTCTCCCAGACCTTGACACAGTGAAAGGCAAAGACATTTGCTTTCTGCTTCATACATAGCAGAATGCTAGTTAAATGCACTATATTGAGTTTCTTGCAGTATTTTTTGAAAGTCTTAAGTTTCACACAGCCAGGTCCTCTAATATAAAAATGACTGAAGCAGTAAGTCACTTAGAAAAAGATTGCTGCATCTACCTTTTGATAAAGTACTTCATCAGGTGCAGTAATCCATGAAATCCTGCATACCAGTAAATAGATTGACACGAGAAGTAAGGGATCTGCAGTTTATTTTTAATAAACTCCCTTTTTTGTCCCAGACATTATTTTCTAGAGTCTGTACTAAAATTTTATAGCTAAAAATTATTTTACCTGTTTCTTTGAGTGGCAAGAATCTAATTACTCAACCAACTTAAATACACTGTCATTTGGAAATAAGGAATTCTAGTTAGAACGTGCTTTCTTCCTTCTGTCTGCTATATACAAATCTAAACATAATAACTTGACATAGAATGCTTATCCAAAGATCTTTCTCCAGACTTTCATTTCAAATAGTCTCAATTGCAATAGTCAGACAACCTCAATCTCTTACATGATATTAATAGACATAGAGCAGCAAAGAAACTTCCTAATTCTAATTCTGAGGTAAAGTTTGTAGTGGTTTATTATACTGTCCTGACATAAAGTAATTTTGTCTGTTTTTAATACCTTTACAAACAGTGTTAAGTCAATAAGAACTCCCTGTTGTTGAGGACACTGTTTTGTTATCAAAGTCTTATGTCACTTGAATTTCCAACAGGTCATTCTGGCTCCCATATTGTAATACTTATATTGAGGGAAAAAAATCTGGTTTGTGTGCTTAAAAAATGTAGGTTATAGTGCTTCTGCAACCTCTAGTAGAAGTTATTATTCATGTATTTTTTAGGACAAAAAATACATTTTTTAGGACCTCAAGATTTGCTTTTCTGAATACAGCAAGTGCGATTTGGTTTGGAGGAGTCATAAATGCCTGAACTTGTCTTTTTACTTTAAAGACTTACAATGGAAAGAAATTATGGTACATTTTGGATGTAGACATTTTAAAAAGTTAACATAATTTTAACTTAATTTTTGCTCTGCAAATTCTGTAGTTTTTCTTTACATTGTTAAAATTAAAATTCCAAGTCAGGGGTTTTTACAGCTAAAACTGTGCTGTTAGAGAGAACCATCTTGGAAATAACACTGTATTTGCTTCTGCTGGATACACCATAGCACTTCCCCTTCCCTCTTCCTTCTCTCCTCCCCCCAAAAATCAGAGTATGTATACAGAGTGCATTGAATACTATCAAGGAAATGAATGAGAGTAATGCAGACATTTTACATCTTAGCCAGTGAAGCATGTTGCCAGTTAAATCCCGGCCCCAGTCACTGATTTTAGTGAGGTCAAAATTTTACCCATCTGTTTAATTCAATACTGTTTGCATGTCTTTTTTCTGACCAAAATACTGTCATTTATTTTGTTCTTAATAACCTAATTAATCATAACATTAGAAATATTGTCACCCTTTAGAAATGTACATTATATCTTTCATACAACAATACAGTTAGCAACTGTCCAGTCAAAAATACTTCAGATTAAAAATATTAATGCTATTAGCTTGCATGTCATGTGTGTGTGTGCATTTTGTTTTTTGGTTGTTTTTTTATGAAGGCTATCAGTTATACAGTCGGTTGTGTGATTAATTCTTTACAAAGTCTATGCAGTATATCAAAATAATACTATGATATAGTAGGTATAAGGGGAAAATACCAAAAACATCAATAATATAACCTTGCGTTTTTTCTGGGATACATACTGAAGGATTTTTACCATATATAACAATTTTTAAATAAATCTCTTACATGGTTTGTCTTTTTTCCATTACAAAAATGTAAATGGTGGCAAAAGAAGAATTGGTCCCTATCTCTCCAACATGCATCATTCAAAATACCATTGACAGTACAGCCACTCACTTAGTTGTGAGATTTATGGCTTTTAGTTCTATGGTGTTCCATTACCCTGTCTACACAGTTAAATTGATTAACAGACAGTTGAGAGCAGGGAGAAGCAGCAATACAGTGAGTTGATGCCGATCGTATCTATGAACTGTTTAAATACTGTTAATATTGTTCTTGTTTCTTGTTGAGATAACAAACTGTTCTTGGTTAACTATGTTAATAAAAGTATTTGTTTGCTGTTATTGATTTTAGGGGCCTCTAGAAAATGATTTGGTGGTCCATGTGGCCCTGATAGCAGAAAGTCAACGGTAAGACATTTACTTTTATTAAGAATTTGTATTTTAAGGAAGAATTGAATGTGACCGAGATCTACAGTCTGGCACAGGTTTTCAAAGAAGCAGGAGTGAGAATATTAATTCAGATTTAAATTGATATGATATTCATGTTTTTGCTTCTTCAGTAATTGCTACCACAGCCATTACAAAATCAGACTGTAGTTATACTGTGATTAATCCCTGCATTTATTTTGTTTTATAGCCTGCAAGTTTTTCTGAACACATATGGAATCCAGACTCAGACTCCCCAGCAGGTGGAACCTATTCAGATATGGGCTCAACAGGAACTTGTCAAAGTAAGAGATTTTGCATTAATGACTTATCTATGCTGTTCTTTTTTTTCTTTTTTTTAATGCAATTCCTTATTTGCTGACAACCAGACTCAAGCGTACTTATGTTGCAGTAAACTGTCTAGCTTTTTGTTTCATTTTAATTAAACTGTATGATACTTCAAAGTGTGCATTATTGGTTTATAATGCATGCCTGGTTGCAGCATTTAGCAAATAATTGAAGGCTGTGTTCTGTATTTGCACTTAAAGACATCTTTGACCATAACCCAAAATGTAATTTGGGATGATCTGTTATCCAATCTGGGTAGTATCTAATCACGTCCCAAAGAATAAAGCAAAAATACAGTAGATCAATGGACTAAGTCAAGTTTGATCTCGACACACAGTGAATCAGAGACAGATATAGAGATGGATTTAAGTAACAGACTATAACTTTATTAATTTAACACTGGGTAGGTGTGCTGTAGTCCCACCCCATGCTCTCACATAGCAGGCATTGCTTGGGTGGAGTGTGGAGTTAGAGGGCTCCCAGCATATAACAAATATCTCAGGGTAGATGCTACTTGGTCAGTGCCTTAGGATAGTTCACTTCTGAATCCTCTTGCCCTCCATGTTTGTGGGAGGACAGAAGGTGCCAAGGTGGGAGCTCAGTCTGCAAAGTCTTCAAGTCTCCTGTTCTCCTATAGACACAAGGTCCAACAGTGAAATCCTGGATCTTGTTTAACTCAGGGAACTGGCCATTTTAGCCATTATCTGCACTGGAAACTGGCTACTGGGGGTACCAGCAATTAGAATGGTCATGGCCGTCCACGCTGTCTGGCATCCATATCCAGCCCTTAAAGTCATGAAGACATTGCGGCCCCTGCATCTGTCTAATGGTGTCCGTCATCCTTATAGCTTATGTCCGCTATATTGGATGTCCCTATGTGTGATCATTGAGCCTCCTGCCCACAAAATTATCCTGGTAGTCTTGTGGTTTGGATTCTGATGGGCTCTGTCAACACAGACTGGCAACACTGACAGTTCCCTGCCAAACTTGTCTAGCAAGCATCTCTGACTAAACCAATTTTGTGCGTGGTCATTACCACTTAATCAATTCCACATCCCTCTGAATTCTAATTCTCAAATTTAGTCTGGTGCAAGCCTCAAGATCATTTTTACCAAGTTGAATAACCAAGATATCAGATGGCTGTACCTCAGCCATCCATGAGTGCAGCAGAGCCATAAGTTGATTGCACAACATGGTTGTTCTGCCATATCACTGAAGGCAAACAGTTTCAGCCTTGAAGCTCAGTTGTGATCCACCGGCTGACCTCATTGCCTGCTTGTGGGCTCCATTCACAATTGAGTGCCTGCAGATCCAGACATCAGTCCTCCTCACAGTGTCTCCTGCAATCACAAACAACAAAGCTAGTTCAGATTCAGGATGTGCCCCAGCCACCTATTGGTAGGGTGAATATATATCCTGTAACAATCTGATTGCCTGGACCTTCTGGAAGTTGAAATCCTCTGATCCTGTTAATTTTGTGGCCCCAAACCTAAGGGAATGCATGCTAGAATTTGCAGTACTGAGAAGTAAGTAGGCTTATGCCTTCTTCATGTCCACAGCAAACTGATACCTGCTCAGGTAGCTGCCATCCTCGGGTATGAACAGAGGGTAAGGTTCCTGGTCCTGTATGTTTTAAAATGGCATTCATGGGTTTACCTGTTCATCTGCATAATCCCTGAGCTCTACTGTGGCCCTCTTTCCTGCCTGATCAGTTTTTGAACACTTCAATTTCAGTGACATTGTTCCTGTGTAAATTGCACATCCCGTAGTTCTAATGCATACGTGGAGCTATCTCCTGTTGTCTGGGGCACTAGTTCAGTAAAAGCACCCAAAAAAGGCAATGACAAATGCTGCTTTCAATAGAACTGCTTCCACCATACAACTGCACGCTCTGGGTAAAGCTTCCAATTAGTATGGTTATGGGTTCCTCCCTGCAACCATCATCTCTGGAACATCCTTCCATAATCTTCCTTAATAAAAATCCCCTACTTGAGTTAGCAAGTCCTGCTAGCCTCCAGCGAAACCTGAGGCCAGCAAGGTGACCCAGTATTATGGATAAAGCCAATCCATGGTGCATTAAAGACACTACATTTCTTACCACCCGAAGTTCAGGAATGGAGCAAATACACTGGAGTCCTTCCCTAACTCAGAATTATACAGATTCCACTAAACTGGCCTTGTACACTCTGACTGGCGGTGGCAGGGGGTGGGGTGGAGGGAGCAATGAAGTTTGTTTGTCAATTCTAAAGCTGTCGGGCCATGTCTTGACAACTGATGAGGCATCACCTGTGGGCCTCAGCTGGTGAATCGTGCAATTTCCTGGAGAATGTTCTCTTGAAATCAAAAGGATATCAGCAATGCCCTTATCTATGACTTGAACGTACACTGCACAGATAAGAATGTTAAATAAAAGGCAGTGCAAAACAAATGTTCTCAAAGGCCTCATTTTCCATGAGAACTTTGTTGACTGCCAATTGATAATTGAGGGTACGATAAATGGTGGATAATCCTGCACCCTCTGTGATGGTTCTCAGTGTATCCAGGATTGAGAGTCACCTTGTTATTCCCTGCCTCTAGTGAGACGGAATCTTGCCTGCAGTAGCTCCCTACTATCACCAGCCTTACAGCTGCTCCGTGACTTTCCTCTGGGCTATGTTAGTCCTGTGTTTGCCTTGCCGATTAACAAGAGGTGCACCCCAGATCCCAAGTTCCCTTGTGATATCCAGCCTCTGACACTGGCTACTTACAGAAATCCCAGTTCCTTTGCTGCCAAAGGAGCCGTGTACCCCAGTTTAGCAGTTTTACCTTAAATCACTGCTCCTGTATAATGCACAGCACCTGTGAGCACTTTGCAATAAAACAAAATAAAGTTTATTTAAGAAAGAATGGAGATGCCATTAGAAACAAGAGAGAGTGAAGGGAACATGGTTACAATATAAAACAGAATCATAAAACACAAACTAAGGAATATACTTATTAGATAGGATAGGTAACAACTACTAAAGTAGGTTCCCTAACCCCATACCCACCCCCACAAAAGTACAGTCTGTTGCTGAGCTGGTTGGCTTCCCAGGAACAAGGATGCACACTTTTATGAAATACCCCTGCTCAACAAGATGACTCCTCTGTGAATGGATACAGAGTGTCTTTCTTCACCTTGTGATATACTGAATCAGTCTTTAGTCTTTACTCGGGGCAAGTCTACACTATAAACTTACATCTGTATAATTATGTCGCTCGGGGTGTGAAAGATCCACACCCCTGAGCAACACAGTTACACTGACCTAACCCTTGGTATTTCATTTCCTGTGAGACAGCGACCTGATGACCATGCCTCTGAAGAGTTGCCACATTCCAAGTTGCAATTTTGGTGGACTGTCAGAGATCCCAGTTACAATTGGATGCATTGTCACAATGTACTGCAGATGTGCCTGTTGACATCAGAGGATACGCGTCCCCAGGGGGGCTTTGGCACGAACCTGTCATGTTTGCACCAAGGGGAGATGGCACCAACAAGGCATCTACAGCTGAAAATAAGGCAGGGGCTTTAATCCCGGTGCTGAGCACTGGGTTATTCATGGTCAAAACAACAAGAGCAAACGATTATCCCAGGAAATACCTTGTTCCACTGGGATGAGACTCTTTTCCTGGTCTACCAGTACAGGCTTCACGCTGTGCGACCTGAGCCATTGAGTCTCAGCGAATTCCTTGGCCTCAGGTAGCTAGGTGCAGCTGCTTCCCTGCATCTTCACCGCCTGTGTTAGCCATCATTTTCAGGGTTCACATTGGATCTGGCCACCTCACATAATGCCCAAAGCGATATTTCAGACAAGCCTTCATTGCTGATGGCATAGCTCCAGCAAGTAATCCCGTACTTCAAATGTTACACCCCCTCCACCACGATGAGTTACGTGGACCATCTTGGTATACTGATTGCAGGACTAACAGAAGCAAGGCTGATAGATCATGGACGTCATGAGGTGGAGGATTCTTTAATTCTGTATTCTGGTTGCCCCAACCATCTATATGGGGTAGCACTACTACTGCAAGGTGAGGCCAAGCCCTCCCTGACAACCTGGATGCCTGTGTCTCCTTGTTTACTTCCTGCACGTCTTAAACATTGGCATGGTTACCTCACTGTCATAGCAGTCTATGCGTCAACAGAGGAATCTGTTGACTCGGTTAAAGATAATTTCTATGATCAATTGGAACATCTAGTATGCACAGTCCTCCACATGATAATCTCATGATCCTGGGTGACCAAAATGGAGTTACTGGCTCCCTGCGAACTGGTTTTGGACAGGTCATTGTGGTTCAGGCACACCCAATGATGACTCTCGCCACTTGCTTACATTCTGTGCCTCCCAGAATCTTTCCATTCTTGTGTCATGGTTCAAGCAGCAATGCATACACCACATGTCATGGATCTCTCATGATGGTGTCACTCAGAAAGAGTTGGACCATGGCATTACACATGATAGGCATCTCTTCGCCTTCTGTAGAATATATCATGGCGCAGAATGTACGGTGAACACAGAGCATCATCTAGTGGTCGCCCATATGGTGTTGATGCTCCAACGAGCAGGTAAGCCCTCTGCGATGATGAAGAAGTTTGACATCGACGCATTCCATGTGCAAGGTTTAGCCAACAGGTTTTGTATTGATGTCAGCAACAGATTCTCGGCTCTAGCTAATCTGCCAGATGATGTGGAGGTTGCCTTGTCCCTGTTCACTTCTACCCTCAACCTATCTGCTGAGTAAACAATTCGCTATAGACATCCAGCACGCCGACCGTGGCTTTTGGAGGAGGCCTTCCAAATAATTTAAATTGATGGCTGCAGTCCACCAACATGGTGATAATCACACTCGTAATCGGCTGAAGTGAAAATTTAACACCTTGGCACTCCAAGCTCGTGATGCATATTATAACCAAGTGGTGGATGATGTCAAATTTGGC